GCCACAGCGGTCACTGTTCTCGCTTTTCTCCCCAGTAAGAAGTTACGCGTTAATATCAATGTGCCAATGAAAACAGAGCAGAAGCAGGAGCAGGAAACCACGCACAAGAACATCGAGGAGGACCGCAAGCTCCTGATCCAGGTGGCGGGCCGGCGGGCTGCGTGTCCCCATAGGACGTGGCATCGGGGCCGTGTCGCTAGGATCTGGGCTGGGGTTGGCCAGGGCCCAGCCAGCACTGGCCTGAGTGTGGGCAGGGAGGTGCGGCCCTGTGAGGGGTGGAAGCAGTGTTGGGGGCCAGGCGGCCTCCGTGGCTTCAGATTGAATCCTTTTGTTTTAATGCCTGCAATTGAGCCACATTCAAACCGTCCGAGGCCAAGGCTTTCCCGTGTGGTCCGAGCCTGTGCGGGCAGGGGGCCCGCCAGCGACACTGCCTTGCTCACGGAGCCCATCCCGCGCAGGCGGCCATCGTGCGGATCATGAAGATGAGGAAGGTCCTGAAGCACCAGCAGCTCCTCGGTGAGGTCCTCACGCAGCTGTCCTCCAGGTTCAAGCCCCGAGTGCCGGTGATCAAGGTGGGTGGCCTCTGCCCTGCTCTGACGAGTGTGCACCGCATCACTTGGGGTCCCTGTCTTGCGGTGTCCGTGTCACTGGGTCCACTGCTGTCACCACACAGGTGTTCTGCTGTCAACATGTCACCCACCTTCGGCTCTTTTGTTCTGGGCTCCCCGAGAACAAGCAGGAGCTCACGGGCCGTCCGCAGCAGGTGGAGGTGCGGTGCAGCCCGGCGGCAGCGAGTCCCGGCCCCTCGCACGCTCCCAGCTCTCTGGGGCGCTGTCCTGCTCCCACAGCCAGGCCCGGGGGCCCAAGGGCTCCGTCCACACCAGGGCTGTCTGGAGTGGACTCAGTCAGCTCAGCAGGTGGCGCTGAGCGGCAGAAAGTGGCGCAGCTCCAGGCCAAGTGGCTGTGTAGACCCGGAGCGCAGGTGCCCGGCATGTTCTGACGTGTATGTTTTCTTCCTCTTCTCTTCTTCAAAACTGATGTCCAGAAATGCATCGACATTCTGATCGAGAAGGAGTATTTGGAGCGTGTGGACGGGGAGAAGGACACCTACAGCTACTTGGCCTAACCCCTGTGGAAGGTCTGAGTGCGGCCTGGCAGGCAGGTGGGTCGGCAGGACAGCGGGGACCGCTCGTCACAGCAGCCACCGCCTGCCGCATGTGGACCTCCCTTTTTAACTCTTGAGACCAGGAGCCTCCGCTGGCCTCAGCCTCCCAGCAGAACTGCTCAGGACGGATACATTTCAAGTCTACATACGGACACCGACGCCATTTAACCTAATTTAAGAACGGAGGGGCTGGCCCTCCGCGGAGGGCTGCATGCTACTGCACCCGCACCAGTGCATTGGCCACCTGCTCCAGGCTGGCGGCGGAGGCGCCTGCAAGGCGGCAGCACTTTGACAGAAGTCTGAATGGGCCCACGTGTAATCTGCTATGGAAACCATTTGTATAGTGTGTTTCATTTTTTAATGTGTGAAAATGAAAATTAAAGGATTTCTGTACAAGTCGCATTTGGCTGTTTTAAATCTAATTTCTGCATGTAAACGATAGTGCCGTGTAGTCCTCTGCGCCCTGGCCCGAGGGCCACAGGCCTGTTCCACCTCCGAGCTTGTTACCAAGATTCTTTCCAGCAGCTTGGGTTCCAGACCAGGCTGCCGACCCTGAAGGCCTACCGAATGCTGCGGTGCTTGCTCAGATTAGGAAAGAACTGCTCCCCCCGTGCCTCCCTCGCGTGTGCTGGTCCTGCCCTGTGGCCAGCTTGGACCGGAGGACGGCTTCTGTTCTCTTCCCACTGCTACCTCCATCCCAGGAGGAGCTCGGGGTCCTGGCTTTCACGGTATCTGTGGCAGATGGGGGGGGCCTTGTTCCTGCCCCTCCTGGGCCTAAGTGTATGTCCCCACACATGCCCTGCGGCGCGCTGCCCAGACACCCCAACTCCCTGGCATCCTCCTTTGTTCCTGGGTGCTGTCTGAAGTGGTGGCAGGAGACAACAGTGGTGCAGACGCTTGGCTCCCGTTGGCTTCATTTCCTCCTGGATGCTCAAAGCGCCTCCGGTTTCTTAAGCAGCACACAGCTGGACACCTGTGGCCAGCTGCTGGGTACCAGGGTCTGAGCAGAGGCAGTGATAGAAGTCCCTGGGGTTCTCGGAACAGCCTGATGTGAAGTGCACTAAGTTTCTGCACCGTCTGTCCTCCTGCGATGTCCCATGTACAACCAGGTGGGAGTAGGAAGACCAGAGCTCCAGGGACAGCGCCCAGAGCCCATGGGGCCGCAGATGAGGCAGCAGACAAGCCGGGGGGTGCGTCAGTCAGGAGCAGCGCTGGGTTCAGCAGCCTCTGGGGCCAGCTGCCAGGTAAGTGCCTGGCAGGCAGCGTGGTGAGTTGGACAGTGGGCACGTAGGTGGGACAGGGACTGCAGCTCAAGCTTGTTGACTTCTATCCCCACCTCACCACCCTGCCCAAGGCCAGGACCCCTGCTCAGTCACTACTGCAAGCCCCCATAGGTGCTTGGCCCCATGCAGGAGACGCCTGTGACAGCAGCTCAGGGTTTTGCAGCACTGGGGTTTGAGCCCAGGACCTTCGCACTGAGCTAGCCCACCCGCTGGCAGCAGCCACAAGCCAGGCAGCTGCTATTGGGAACCTGCACTCCCGTTGGGGATTCTCAACTCCTGTCTCCACCTTTGGAGAGAACGTACTTAACACAATACCGTGGGTGTGGCCGTGTTCAGTGTCACCAGCAGTGCCTGTGGAAAGGCGTGGGTGTACTGTGCGCCCAAGTGGGCCTCCTCCGCCCCAGACTTGTCCCCAGAGCACTCAACTTCATTGGTGTACCTGTCACCTGTCATGGCCAGTGTTTATCTTGGGTTAATGGCCAGACAGGTTAGGAACAAGGTAGCATCTATTTTTATACCCTATCAGCAACTTTATCCCTCCGTAAATTCGTGTTCTGCCTTGGGGGTTGAATGCAAATCCCAGAGGGGTTACCAGAGCTGGGGCCTGCATGCAGATCCCAGTCCTGAGGCCACGAGTAGGCATGACGAGTCCAGGGGCCTGCAGTGTACACTTGGCCACTGCACAGTCACTGCCTGAGGGCCAGCAGCCAGGGCTGCGGAGCAAAAGAATGGCAGGCGCGGGCAGCTCCAAGACCAGCAGCTCCCCAGTGCAAGTAAGGCATTGCTCTCGTGCACTGTCTCAGCACTGGCTCCCGACTCCTGCCACAGGGAGCCCGGGCTCCAGCCCGAGTATGGCCGTGGCACCGGTCCTGAGCTCCCCAAAGAACTGCAGTGGCATCCACAGGGGCAGATTTGGTAGGAAGCAAACACGGCCCGTGGCACACCCAGCCCGCAGCATCTGTGTCCTGGAGGTCCCTGAAGAGGGGTCCCTGGACTGCTGCTGCTTCGCAGCTGGCTGGCTGCCGTGCCCCGAGGGCCAGGAGCTGGGCAGAGGAAGAAACAAGTCCAGACATGGGCACTGCCCTGCCCTGCTCGGAAGGACAACTTCTCAAGACTTATTTCGAGTCTACCTGAGACCTCCACCCCACCTTCCAACCCAGCTCCTGGCCAGGGTGTACAAATGACCTCCAAACAGGTAAGCATGGGCGCCCTTCTGCTTCCAAGACAGATCTAGATGGGAGCTCTCACTGGCTCATTGCTTTTTGTGTACTGAGACATTGCACTATGGAATGAATTTAGGCCAGCCTCAAACTCGTGGCAATCCTCCTGCTTCAGCTTCCTGTGTGCTGGTTACAGGCGTGTGCCACCACGCCTGGCCCTAACTAGCATTTATTCCCACTCCTTCCAGGAAAACAGCAGAAAGCTGAAACTGTCCTCCATGACTTGTCATTCATCTGCTTCACTCCGACACTGAGGGCTGGCGATAAACTGAGCCACTCAGGCCCAAGCCGTAGACAGGTGGTTGTGACACAGATCCCAGGGGAAAGAAAGCATCTGACGGGCAGCACCCTCACCCTTCACCTGTGGCCCACCCACAGCCTTGTGTTGCACGAGCCAGCCAAGGAGGCTCCGGGAAGCGCACCCCTCAGGGCAGCGGGAAGCAGGCACTGGCCACAGCTAGAATGCGGGCTGTACACCATGAGCGGGCCGGGGGCGGGGGGGACCTGACCACAAGGGCCATGCCTCCTGCACTGCCAGGCCACCTCGAGACAGACCAGCAGCAGCGTGCTCTCCAGGCCAAGGGGAGGAGCTGGAACCTGGGGTGTGGCACTGCTCCAGCAGTGGGACAGGGCAACGACAGGGCACAGACCTGAGAGGGGTGCTGCAGAGCTAACTGGGCTTGGGGGGCTGCACCCTGTGTGAGGACCCCAGAGAGGCCTGGGGCTGGCAGGCTGAGCGAGGGCCCGCCAGCAGGCACGTGGGTACCCGCAGCAGGGTCCTTGAGCACCTACAGGCGCTCGGGTCCCCTGCCTGCCCTGAAAGGCTCTGAGTGCTGTCAGGAGGGGTGGGGTGCAGGCAGCCCATCTCCTGGGCCTCGGAGAGGGAGAGTGGTCAGGCTCTCAGTTCCGGGTCTCGGCGTGGCCCCCAGGCCCAGGCCAGAGGGCTGTAGGAAAGCCCTTCTTCCAGGAGAGGCAGCAGCACAGCCGGGCCGCACCGCGCAGCTTCAGTGCCACCACCTGCTTTAAGCGGCTGTGCTCTAAGCACCACATCTGGACTATGGGAGTCGGCGCCAGGTCCCAGGAAGAACCTGATTCGCCTGTCACCCTGCCTGTGGTGAGTAGACCTGCCTCCCATCTGCAGGCCGCCGCAGCATCGGCATCCACTGTGAGGCAGATTCTGCGCCGTCACGAGCTCGAGCATGTGAGCAAGTGTGGCCCAGGTCAGGTGGCATCCCAGTGACACTGTGGGCAGTGGTATTAGCTAAGCCAAGATTTGCAGAAAAGCCGAGTGGAATCTGCCCGTGTCCCCTGCCGACAGTTGACTCAACAAGAGAAGTTCAAGTATACTTTATTCAAAGTTGAAAAATGTACCATACTGCATTATTGCAAAAACCCACTGGTACAAAACACGTGGCAGCTGGTGAGAAGGCAATAAAAAGTTGATTTTTAAACTTGTTACTATAAATTACTGTTACAGTACTCTGCAAGTTCAGAATTTCAGCCCGCATCTCCAGTCCTACATTGCCCACAGTACTCAGTTCCTGCAGCTAAGGCAGCCGTTCGTTCGGCGGAGGGAAGCGGGGGCACGCGTCAGGGGATTTCCATCTCCCGCTCGATGCCCACGTACTTCAGGGCGTCGGCCTGGCTGTACCTGGAGGGACAGAGGAGGGGATGAGCCGCCATCGCCCCCACCCCCAGGCTGCCCAGTGGCGCACTCCATGGGACGGGACCAACAGAGGGCGGCCGCCTCGAGCCAGGAGGTGGGCAGGCACAAGGGCACCGCAGGAGGGCAAGCGCTGCCTGCAGCGGGAGGGCAAGCGCAGCCTGCAGCGGGAGGGCAAGCGAGCGCCGCCTGCAGCGGGAGGGCAAGCGGGGGCTGCCTGCAGCGGGAGTCCCAGGCACAAGGCTCCTTTCACCCTAGCTGTCTGCAGCAGCTGTCAGAAAAAGTCTGCAACAACTCAGAACAGCTTCTGCACTCTGGGCAACTGAGGCAGGAGGCTGCTGAGCTCAAGCACTCCTGGGGAATGCAGCAACTTGGCAAGAGCCTGCCTCTAAGTTAAAAAAAAAAAAAAAAAAACTGAATGGGACACATAGCCACAGGAATTTTAGACATCTCCACCTGGGCATGTTAAACGGATGCCTACATACACTAAGTCCTCAACTTATGAACAAGCTGTGTTTGAGAACAGTTTTAAGTGGCATTCATTCCAAGCTGACCCGTGTAAGTTGGTAACAGCGGTGTAGCTAGGCTGGGAACGCGCCCATCACACTTGGCCCACAGAGCCTGTCCACAGCATTGCCACCCTGGCCTTGTCCTCTGCACTCATTGCGCCCTTCCTATCTCAGTACCTAGCTCTGGACATGGGACACAATGACGCCAGAGGCCAAGGTGCAGCTACCGAGAGGGTGCAAGGCCCCGAGCTCATCCCCAGGGCCAGAACAGACACCAAACTCCTCGGGAAGGATGCCCCAGCGCTGCTGACAGAAACAGTACGGAGTTCAGGACGGGACTGTGCGTGATGCCACCATGCTGGCCACTCCCAGCAGCGTGAGAAATGGGCTTCATTACCTCACCAGCAAGCAGCATCCAGGCAGCTGAGGAGCAGGACAAGGACGCTGGGGGGGAAAGAGCCAGACCCACAGGGCAGTTGACCACAGCCGGCACGGCACCCCAGAAACGCTCCCCACCAACCTGTAATCGAAGAACAGCTCTTCGCCGGTCTGGATGGCCCTCTTGGCAAAGATGCCAATCCTGTGGTCGCCGTTCACCATCATGACTGCAGGGACACACGGGCACTCAGCCAGCATCGGGCCATGCAGGCTGGGTCACCCAACCTGTCCCCACCCACACCGGGTCTGCTCCCCACAGGTAGAGGGGATCTCTGCCTCGAGCTGTGACTGACTCCTCAATACTCACCTTTTGCATAGCAGTTCGGATTTACTGAGTGATTCGCAAAACGAATTTTGTTACCCTTGCGGGTTGCGTCCACCACAAAATCTAAAGAGGAAAACAAGCAGAGCCCAGTGGGTGACGCTGCGCACACACACCTGGCTCTAGTTGGAGGCAAGTCATCTAGCTTGCTGCAAGATGAGATGCCTCTGGAAGGAAGTACTGTTCTAGGCGAAAATACTTCCTTGCTAATTCAAGAGCACTTTGTCTCAAATGTTTTCGATTTATCAGCGTAAATATACATTGCTAGGCAAAGTAAGCCAAAAGTAATCTAAGTCCTCCAAACAGCAAGAACACCTGTGATCCCAGCACTCAGGGGGCGGAAGCGGGGAGCTCAGGGCTGGCCTGAACTGCATAGCCCATCGGTCTCAAAACCAAAAGCCCTCCAGAAAAGGCGTTTTCCCATCTTTACGGAATCAGCCTTCACTCTTCTGGGCTGGACTCCCTCAGGGCAAGGCTGGAAGGGGTTTCCGGTCGCAGCGCCCCTCACCGGGCAGGTCGCAGGGCCACTGGAGAAGGGCTGGTGCCTCACTCAGCCCAGGACTGCCGTCAGCTGTGGCGGGGCCTCTGCGCCCGAGCCTGTGGCTCCCCCACCCCTCCACCCTGAACGCTCCCATGCTAGCACGGCCCTCCAGCTCAGAAGCATACCGTTGTTCAGGTTGAACAGGAAGCTGCACATGTATTTATCATACACCTTGCCTCTTCTGTCTGCTTCATCTTGAGAAATAATCTGAAAAGCAAGCACAGGAAGAAATTGCAATAGGTGGTCATCAAGGCTGGCCTGTGGCAGAATCTCGACCTTCGGTCACTGCAGCCAGTGGCTCTTCCTCACGCCGTCTGTGGCAGATACAACAACCTCTGAAGTGCTCCAAATCAGGTATTTCCACACCCAAAGTACTTCCGATGGGGGAAGCACTTGGGGTGATTAAACAATTAAGAAGTTGAACTAGAGTTTCAAAGCCCTAAGATGTGCCCCCTAACTTAAGCAGATGTCAGTGACCCTGTTGTGTCTGAGTCCCTGACACGAGGTCGCAGACCCCAGAAGGGCCGAGGTGGAGCCCCGCCCTTCCTCCTTTTGGTTCCAGGTCTAACTGTGGTCAAAGCCGAGGCAGTTAAGGCACTGACCAGACCAAGCCCACAAACACCAGCAGGTGCAAGCCAGAAGCCACTTTATTTCACTTCTAATCCAATGCAGTACACCTGCCAGGTGACATCGATCCAAAGCAAAGCAGCACTCGTCATCGACAGCACCCCATGAACACAGCCGCTCGCGCCTCACCTCTCCACAGTACTCTGAGATGAATTCATTTTTCTGTACAGGATCTTTGATAAAAATCCCCCAGCCTGCTACATCCGATGGTGCCAGCAACAGATGCTAGAGAAAAAAGCAAATCATCCCGTCAAGAGGACAACGAAGACGTGGGTGGGTGACAAGACTGAAAACCAAGTGATCCCTGGAGAGCTGGGCCGGTTCTCCAGCGCCCGGACACTGCGGCAGGCTCCTAGCCCGAGGCCACGGCCCCTCAGGCGCACCCCGAGACGGCCACAGTGCCACAGTGCCTCCTGTCACCTTCTCACACCGGGAGGCTGTGGCTGTGCTGGCTTCTCGCTGCCTCAGCCCTCGGGAGCCCCTGCCATTTTGGGGGGGTTTGTCCTCCCGGCATTTCCACAGACAGTGGAAAAGCCGCCGGCAGCTGTGTCCTCACCACGTCAGTCCCATGTCCTCCCCCTCCCCCTCCAGCCTCCAGCCTCAGCCTTCTCCACATTCTACTTTTAACAGAGAACACCAACATTACCATTGGTGAGTGACAACATGACCATCAGTGAAGCCAAGCACTAACTTTTCATTATGGCTCCTTATGCTCCTCCAAGTCTTCCTGGAAGCTGGCTATGGTAGCACACACCCAGAAGCCAGTATTCAGGAGGCTGAGGCAAAAGGCTTCCACATTAAGCCCTGTGTCATCTTAGCAAGGCGCTGGCTTCAGAAAGGGGGCGGGGCATGCGGCTCACCGGCAAGTCGCCCGGGCCAGGCCCCCACACCCCTCCGATCACCAAGCCCCACTCTAGCTGCCTTCCAAGGGGAACCCTCCAAATGAAATCTGGTTGGTGAAAGGTATCTACATGAGGGTCATGTTGATAGAGTATACAGCACACGCAAGCAGATCGCCCACTCTCTGAGCAGAATGGGGGGACCCCTTCTAGTTCCAAGCGTGGAGTGAAGGGAGAACTGTGGGCTTTCGGCCTGAGCATCTGCACCATAAAACAGGCAGCACTGTCGTGGTCTGCTGCCCACACACGCAGTCACCTACACTGAACAGGAGGACCTCTGAGCTGCTGCGGGGGGGCATCTGTCCTGCAGAGACACTGGCTCAAAGGCACAGAAGCTGGAGGTCATGTCTGGCTGCGATCTCTGGCAATGGAGGGTCTGGGTCACACCCTGCATGTCCCCACCTCTCCCCCAGCCCAGCTGGACAGCCCAGGTCCCTCGTCCTGCTCCTGTACTGCTGTGTCTTCTAACTTCAGGTTTCCTCATCCAAAACACGGGCTGGTCATCACTCCCAACTAACTCTCGGGGTGATGAGGGTTAATAAACTCACAGAGCATTGAACAGCGCTGCTCATATAAAATACTAACAAATGCCAGCCGTGATGATTCAAAGCCACCCAGTGCCACGGAGGACCTCTTATCTACCTACACGAAAAAGGATGCTGGATTTCCCCAGTCCTAACTGTCACCAAAGGTTTTATTCACTAATTCTTGATGTCTACATTTAAAATCACACGTGCAGTTGCCATGCTTCCAATACCAATTCCTGGCCTAGCTGTTTAACTTGCGATGGGAAATCTCATCTTTTACTATATATAGAAAGGGACCTAAAATCATTGTTTGGTGAGACCAAGTCTCTGCGTTCTGACAGAAACCACACTCACTTACATTCGGGAGCTCTGTTAGCTAAAGGGTGAAACTCTGAGCAACGTGTTTTTTGTCTTAGCACTGTCTTTCTTCCGAGCCCAGGTCTCCCAGGCTGCCGGCACTAGCCTCAGTCTCCTGAGCAGTCAGGACCAGAGCGTGCCACAGGGCCTGGCTCGAGCCTTAGCTCCAGCAAAAAACATGTGTTCCACATCTGATGTGCCAATGGCAGCTTCTCTTAGCACCTCCCCAAGAACAGCTCACTGTTCTCTGGCCTCAGCAGTGCCACTCCAAGCTCACGGGTGCTTCTGCACCCTGCTAACTGATCTCCGGCTCTTCTGACGTGACATGGCCAAGCCAAGCACCTTCTTGGGGGGCTGCTGCTCACCTTTTTGGAGCCCCGCTGGATGCTGCAGTTCTTGCAGGACACATTCTTGCTGTCCCAGTGGTCCGCAGCTCCACACGTCAGGCAGAGGTCTGGGTCACACTCCCGGACAGCTAGGTAGCACGGGCACTGCTTGGTGTTGCACTGTGCTTTGCAGCGGCATCCGGGAAAGCGGTTTTGACCTTCAGAGATACGGTCACTGTCACCACCCCCAGCAATCCCCGTCACACACAAGCGCAGAAGGAAGGGCTGCAGCAAAGCTGTACAGAGCACCTGACCGCGTGAGGGCCCCGCCCACCCCCAGCTGCCGCTGTGCTGCGCTCTGCTCTCCATGGACTTGCTAAGTGGAGCCCAGGACTCAGGAGCCAGGCGTAGAGCAAGGACAGGGACCCAACAGTACCCATCCTTTGCCCATGCCCATGCCCACAGCCCTTCCTCCTAGGCCCTGCCTTACCCCAGCTTCATGCCCACACTGCACACCCAGACAAGCCTAGCACTGGCCACTGGCCACACACCAGTCATTTCTAGCGTCCCCAGACATGCTAACTACTTCTATAGTCCCCTCAGATTCTCTACCTCTTCCACCATCTCAATTAAAAAAAGAAAAAAGAAAAGAAAAACTGGAAAAGTCAAGTCCTTTAATTCAGACTCTGCCTAACTTGGGCATGCATGATCACCCGGTAGGCCAGCTGCTGGGGCACAGGGCAGCCAAGGGCTTGGCACAGACTTGCAGGACAAACGCATCTCCTGGTGTGGCGGAAGCAGAGGGGGCGGGCAGGTGTCTGCGTGTGGGGTTAAATCGCTCTTTTATACGGACCTACTTAGTTCTCATGCAACTGCATCACAGCATCAAATACTTACACTCTGAACTACATTGACAAAACTTTTCACAAAAATTTTGTGCTATCACACAAGGGCACGAACTGTCACAAGGCTGCCGTGGATGGTCACAGGGTTGATAGTTGTAAACATGGTTAGAGGAGCCGTCTGAGTAAAGACAACAGCACACAGCCAATGAATGCAGGCAGAGGGAGCCGCCAGCACAGCGAACGCGACAGCCTCCTCCCGCCTCCTCCTCTGGAGCAGCCTCCACTGTGCCCTGCGTGCTCCACACACAGCCCGACTTGCACACTGACGGCTCACATAGCCCCATTTCCAGAGCCTTCTTCCCCTGCTGCCTCGCAGTCTTGCTCCACCCAGTCCGCTTCCCCTTTCCCAAAGCGAACTGGCTAGCGCTTCGTCAACACACATCTTCCATTAAAACCAGCTTGATGTACAGAAGTCAAAGAATAAACCCAAACTCAGTCCAGTTACTGTTCTAAAGCAAAGGAGAATGAAGATAGTTTGAAGCTAATAATGAAGTTGAACGAAGATGCTAACCCTTTTTCAGCTGTATCTTTCTGCAGTGTGCAGCCCACAACCTGCAAAAACAGAGAGAATAAAATATAAACTTCTGCGTGACATTGGGAGCACAGTCATGACCAGCAGCTGCCAGGCTGGCTCCATCCGCTGCGGGGCCCAGGGGCTCGTGCTGCACGGCTCACTCTCACCCTCGGCCGGCAGGCCTGATGGCTTCCAGTAGCCAGGCCTCGTGCAGAGCAGGCACACCTGCCTGCCAAGTACCCTGAGCTGAACTGCATGGATGCAGGCACCTTAGCTAACTACCCATCCAACTGAACTTCATGGTCAGAAATCAAACAAAACTTAGATGTATCTTAAAGCTTGACGAAAACTTTGTTCTAAATAGCTATCAAAGACACTGACAAATCGTAATGTGGGTCTAAACATAATTTCTGAAGCATAAACAAATTGTTCCCCTTACCCACACACATCTGCTTTTTGTTTTAAAAAAGTAGGCTGGGGCAGAGGGAGCCCCTCCCAATTTTCCGGGCCCCCCACTTGGAGAGCCAGCCAGCCTGAGGACGCTCGCTGCGCCTATCGCCACTCGACAAGCCTCAGGGAAGGCCACACGCAGGCTGGGAGGACAGCCCTCGAGGACAGGTGTGCCAGGTGCACGGCACACACCAGGGAACTCGGCTCCGAGCATGAAGGACCTGGCTTAGACAGGCCCAGAGCTCTCGGCAGGACAAAGCTTCTCCCAACCAGCGGCTAGGGCACTCATGTGGTCTGTCTTGCAAATGCTACTAAATAGGTGTTTTTCTCCACCAAAATGCAGTATGGTGACATTAGCATCTATGACTCATATCATGCCACATTTACTGAAGCTGCTGTATTTCTATCAAGAAATACTAGCAACTGCCAGAAGTGTGTGTGGCACTTGGCCTGCAGGCTGCGCTGAGGGACCTGCCCCAGACAGACAAGCGTGCAGCTGGTGTACCTGTGTTTCCTCTTCTTCTTCCGTGGAGGGGTGTCCACGTCCTCCGCAGGAGCAGGTGCGATGATGCTGGACTCCTTGACTCTAAACTCATACACCTGCCAAGAGGCCGAGCAGAGGCGGGGCGGAATCACCAGGCCAGTCTGACTTGGAGCCACCCTGTGCTCGCCCGTACACACCCAGCCAGAGGCTCTGCCCAACACTGGGGCAGCATAGCAACAGAAGTCACTGCCCACAGTCACAGTCCAGTCACGAGAGCTGACACCAAGCCCACACGCTTGCTAACTTTCCAAGGGTATGATACCCAGTCTTAAGTATCTGAAGTAGGCAGAAGACAGAAGCCTAACAATAACCAGGACCCTCCTTACACTTGGACAGTGGCTGCATGCTGTCTACAGATTTGAAGCTGTTACAATTTTCTTCTCAGATATGCTCACCTGTCTGCATGTCTTGGTCCCAATCAACCTGGCAATGGCACAGAAATTATCATAGTAAGTGCCGATGAGGACCCGGAACATGGAGGCTTCAGCTCCACTCCACTCCACGTTCTCGGGAGGCTCAATATTTGGCTTCATCTTTATTGGGGTTTGACACCGAGAATTTGCTTCTACAAAACCAAATGTAAGCACTGGTTTATTACAAAATAAAATCCAGGGTGTGCTTGAGCAAAAAGAAGGGCGATAGTTATGTCTTAGGCTCAACACAATGCCAGTAAAACACCACCACCCCTAAACCATGAAATTACATATTCTTTAACCCAGCCATCTACAATGAGCACAGACATGGTGAAGCTATTAAGATTCCTGGTGAAATTCAAAGGAAAAGGGCAACTAAATCCAGGTTCCCGGCTCTTCCGTCATTCTCATATTCTAACTAAGCAAAGCTATGCTGAGGCTGAGGCTGTCAAGAATATTAAAGCACGCGATGTGGATTTCACGGTGCCTTCTGAGAAAAATGAAAGGGGAAAGGCAAGCACCGAGGGAGACGACCTGGACCCGCAGCCCCTCAGTCCCGCACACACAGACTGCTCATCGTTCTCGAAATACCCAACCGGGAAGAACTGCATTCCACACCGTGCTCCTCACGGGAAACTCGAGAGCGCACAGGCGCAGCTCGCAGGCGCGCCTTACCAGAGGAGCTCGAGGTCTCATCCTTCTTCTCCTCTTCCTCTTTATCATTGTTCTCTCCCCCAGTCTCAGTCCCTGCCTCTCGGTCACTGTCAGTGTCCTTGGACTCCAGCACGCTGATGGTGGGGGTGCTGGGCCTGCTGCTGTTGTTGGGGAGCCGGCCTCGCCTGCGGCCCCCGGGGCGCTTGGGCGGGGTCTTTATCCGCTCTGCAGTGAGGGCAGCTGCAAACTCCTTCGCTCCCTCCTATGGAAGGAAAAGTAAGCCATCAGGGGAAAGTTCTAAGACTCACTGTGGCGGGAGAAAAAAGACACTGACTATCTAAAAATACTTCTCATTTGCTTCCGATTGTTCAACACTTCCATAGGAATACACACGAAATCAGCACATCACCAGAGCAACACAAGATGAGGCAGACAGTTCTGGAGGGGGCGTTCGTGAAACTATTAACTGAGTACAATTAAAACAGTGAGCGGCACGGAACGGCTCTCTGTCCACACACACATATGCACTTACTCAGTCTACTTAAACGTGAAGCTTTTTAAGAAGCACACAGCTAATGTGCACTGTCAGACTTCCTACTTCAAGGTCCAAGACAATGCGTATTTCTTTAAAGTTATATTTAAAATATGTCAGAACACAGAACATACAAACATGCATAGCTTCGTCACTTCCTGTCCGACTATTAAAATATCCAGTATCTTTTTCCTGTGAAGGATGCACAGCCACAGGAAGACACAAAAGGAGCTTCGGGAACACAACACTAAGAGTTACATTCGCATTCTGGACAATAATCCAGTCTCAGAAAGTACAAAGCAACGCTGAGAGCATGGTGTACTTAGAAACCACAGAAACAGTTTAAAGGAGGCAAATAAATCTCTGCCTTGTTAAAGCATACTATAAGATAGTGCTCCAGAATTCCATTTTTTAGTGCAAATAGAAGGGAGAGCTTGAGAGCAGCCAACAGTCTTATACTTCATTCTATAAAAACCAAATTGCTTAAAAGTAGGATACCTTCTGCAGGTGCCATTCAATGAATCTTCTGTCCAAAATCCAACAGGCAATATATACCCATTTAGTTCCTAGGTAGGAGTGGCTTGGTTCAAAGAGGGGAAATGGTAAAAATAAGATAGTACCGGTAAAAAACAACTTTTCTATATTTTCCTAAGCCCTTACCTTTTCTCCATCACTTTAAAGAAATCTGTGAGATCTCTAGATACAGTTCAAATTACAGGGTGTGTCTAACACTCCCTTCCGGAACCAGCTATGAGGAAGGCTTAAGAACTACAACCACATACAACTACTGCTGTCTACGTGGGCAAGCTGTGCTTCACACTCCCATAAACTGTGGAAGGGGTAAGAGTCCTTGATCCTAAAGACCTTGAAATGCTGCTGCAGAGATAACACAGATAAAAAAATACTATAAGACCAACGAAGGGCTACACTGTGCCCTACGTGAGCTACGGAGAAGCTCGGCACAGAAGCCGCCTGTTATCTGGCCGTGGAGGCATGGTAAGACAACATTAACGCGGCTTCGCCACCTCCGAGGTCACCATTAAGACTCCTCCAGACCCCACCAGAACAACGAAGCACCGGGGCTCACCAAGTGCTGGTAACACTGGGGTCCGCACGGCTTATTGTCCAGAGCTGTTTCTGTGTTTTTCCGCTTGTATGTATTGGGTGTTGCATGAAAAGCTGCAAAATAAACACAAATTATCTGAATATAACTATAAAAAACAAGCTTTCTTTAAAGCTGCACTGGAAAAATCAATTAACAGATTATCATCTTGCTGATAAGTAGCCTGTGATACTTCACACAGCTTTCTTTCAAGCATGTCTCCTACTCTGAGGCAAGGCAGAAACCCAGTACGCTGTGGAATACTAACATACTTTCTCTTTAGGTACAGTACAACTGCACCTACACTATGGCTATGAACATTCATTTAAATTGACCCAAATCCTCCATGCAAGTAGTAGATATTGTAACATGAGGTTTGTGTGTGTGTGTGTGTGTGTGTGTGTGTGTGGCTGGCTCAGCCTGCCCTGGGGGAAGGGCTGGCATGGCACATGGTGCCTGGGATTGAACGGGTCCCTGCACTTGCCTGCTTGCCTGTAGATCGCTGAGCTATCTCACCAGCCCCCTTCACATGAGATTTGATTTTCTATTTTTATCAAGAGAAGCCTGCTGGGCCGGGAAGATGGCTCAGTAGACTAAGCACTTCCCTGACAAGCGCAAGGGCCTGAGTTCAATCCCTAGTTGGGGGGGGGGGGGGGGGCGCTAGCATCTACAATTTCTACAACGGTCAGCAATCTGTTCCATTGGGAAGTAGAACGATGCCACTTTCTAAAACTCACTGTTGAAGACTGAAAAGGTGAGCTGCGGATTACTAACATTTAATCCTTTTGAATCATATGCAAGTCGAAAACCTAGTGAGGGCCACAGCCTCTGTGCAGGGCAGTGAAGTGGTCAGATAAAAGGCCGCAGAGGGCTGGCGAGATAGCTCAGTAGAATAAGTGAGCTCAATCCCCAGTACCACCACCACAAAAAGAAAGAAAGAAAGAAAGAAAGAAAGAAAGAAAGAAAGAAAGAAAGAAAGAAAGAAAGAAAGAAAGAAAGAGCCTCAGAAAGATGAAAGGGCCCGAGACTTATAAGTGCTAGCTGGTGCAATGAAAGCTGCTGCGGGGGTCACAGGCGCATAGAAAGCCAGCAGCCACAGCGCCAGCCTCCAACGGCGCTTCTCACGCCAAGGCAACACCTCAGCCCACCACAATTACACATGCTGAAAATGCTCACAAATCCAAGCATTTTAAAAATATTTATAAAAAGCCAAAGTTAAGTTTCATGAGACTTGGGGCACATAAAAGCAGACTGGTAAGGGAAGGAAGGAGGAAGACGGCACTCTCTCTACTTGCTTATTTTTCTAGTGCTGCAGAACAAAGCCAAGGCTTTGTGTACAGCAGGCAGCACTCTGCCCTCAACGACATCCCAGCCCCTAAGCTACGTTTCGAAAGTAGACATTTAAGGCTGCTTCGAGCGCACAGTGAGCTTCTTCCAGGCCAGCAACCAGGTCAGCCTATATTCTGAGCAGCTGAGCACGCGGAGGTTCAGGTGGTCTCACCAGCAAGGAAGGACTCCAGCCTAAGAGACAAGCCCTTCCCTGGCAAGAGTGAGGCCGGGTGTGAGGAAAGGCCACGCTGCCAGATGCTGTTGCTACTGCAACCTGTACTCACGGAGCCGCCCGGCCCAGCCCTGTCACAAGGAGCTCACAGGCCCAGATGTGCACGGGTCTTGACTGCAGGAAAACCAGGAGCCGCAGCTGCCTGAGCTACAAGATGCTGCTGTCAGAACCCGAGACAGCAGCGCTCACCACGAGCCACACCACACACCCTAAAAGAACAAGCCAGAGTGAGAAGGGAAAACCACGCTACGTACCAAGAGAGATTTTAAACAATTAGAACTGTGTCACTTTTAACTTCATATTTCAGTTAGCTAACACTAGAAAGAGAATTATCCTTATGACTGGATTTTCCTCAAAATCTGAAACTGATTCTTCGGGGAAACTACCTGTCCAAAGAATTCCCTCTTCTAGAAATGATAACTACCTTAGACTTCCAGAAGATCAAACATAATTCTTCCAAACAGACATCTTAGTATTCAAAATGAGGAATCGGGATATACTTCAAACTAAATATAGGAAATCATGCAACCTCCCCAAGAATGGGTGGGTGTGTAGCTCAGCGGCAGAGCTCTTACCTACTCTGCACGAAGCCCTCAATTCAGTCCCCAGAACTAGGGGAAAAACATGGCCAATCAAAAAAGCCATAGGAAGAGAAATCAAGGCAAGACTACTTCTTTCTTTCTTTATTTTTTGTGGAACCGGGGATTGAACTCAGGTACTTGAGTTTGCCAGGGAAGCGCGTATTCTACTGAGCCATCTCCCCGGCCCCAAGACTTCTTAAATGATACAAAAGGAGAGAACATGGACACTCAGAGCATTTTTATTTTAAAAGCAACCTACAAAATCCTGATAAGAACTGTATCAAATTTTCAGGCAAAGGTAAAGGATAGTACACAATTCCAGTTAAACCAAATACGAAATCAAACTGGCAGCTCTAGAAAATGGTTAACATACACTGAGTAGCCCCTTAGAATCTTGCCCTTTCACCAAGCTGCGACCTGACTCAACAAGTGGCAGCAGGGGACTACAGAGCTAGAGCAAAATGGCAACCATCTATCTCCAGGGTGATCTTAAATTTAGGAAAGAGGAACACAAAGCATAATGTGCATGCGTGAGTGCGTGCGCCTCCCTCGCACTCTTGTCACTCCCATCGCCTTTGTGCTCTGAACATAACCATCACTACTGCCCTCCTGACACACTTCCTCAAAGCCTGGTCATGCGGTACATAAATGATCTCAGATCAGTACAAAATGTCAGTTAAAGTATACGCCACATTCAGTTCAACAGAACTAGATATTAAGAAATTCTCCTTGCATAGCTATAATATATCAATTCTTTTGTGCATATCACAAAAAGAACTTCACAAAATAATCCATGTCAGGCTGGGTACCTTGGCAAAAGCACCTGCCTGGCAAGCACAAGGCCCCAAATTCAATCCCTGGTACCAAATCATCACCACCACCATCCCATCACCATCACCACCACCACCA